TAGAAATAGAGCAAACCACAGTCTCAGAAAACGAAATGGAAATTACAGATTTTGTGAAAGTTTTTTCATAAAGAAAACTCCTACTGGGGACAATAGATGTTTAGCCTTTAAACCAGAGGATCAGCCCACCAGAAGTGAACATCAAAGCAGTCTATTTTCCATTAACTACTTTCTGCAGCCTACTGTGCTGGATGCAATCTGTCATGCCAGTTTGTAGTCCAGCAGTCAGGGAAACTACCAGAAGTCAGAAGGCCTGGGCTAATTTCCCAGCACTGTCAGCCCAACACATCTAAAAGGATGCAGTTCATATGAAGTAAGTTGCACAAGGTGCCTGAGACAAAGCACAGCCTTTAATTTTTAGTTTTCCAAGCAACCCTGGCCTCATATCTGATTAATTTTCTTTTGTAAAATTACTTTTAAACTTCTGTTCTGGTACTCCCAACTTAAAATCCACAGAATTCAGAGAAAAAATAAAAAGGACCCTCCCTCTGGGCCTTCAGGGATTTTACTGAAGTCATATAAAGAGCAAGAAAACTTTTTGTAAGGGAGGAAAATGCTACTGAGTCTCTTACAGAAACTTCACACATGCTGCCCTCACCTACCTAAAAGCACAACTGTTTTGAAACTATTTCCTCTCTAAAGATAGATCATATCCAGCACACAGAGAGGCATCTTATCCTCCAGCAGGCTGAACACTCTTCCTCTCAAAGCCTAAATGCTGGAGCTGGCACCAGCTGTAGCCCCTAGTGAGCAATACACAGGGCAGCCAAAAACCCCCTGAAACTGCACTCCTGGATCATAGGGACAGAAAAAAAGCTTTATTTCTCCTTTTTCTTTTTGCCCTCTCCTCCTTCCCTTCCTATTTTCTAACATCATAAATGATCAGCCTTGCTAAGCTGGACTCTTTCTACAGGCAGATGGGGGTGTTCATGAGGGAGAGGGATGGTGGAGTGATTAAGCAATAACACCTTAGCGTAAACAAATGCACAGTGACAAATTTGGGATTTCTTTCCTGCTTCCAACAAGGAAGTGTTAAGACATGCAAACTGGCTCTTGTTAGCACTTAATATTTTTTCTTTGATGCTATTTTTTGACTTGCTTGGAGCAAAAGTTTCTTACAGCACTATTTGTTGCCAAGAATTAATAAAGTAACCAGCAATGCAAATAAGTAAAACAATTCCCTCCTCAAAAAAAAAAAAAGAAGGCTGAATTTGCAGGTTAGGATTTCTTTTGTTCAAAAACTTCAGGAAATCATTAAAATCTAATATTTATTTAAAGCATAAACCACAATCAATGCCTAGATTTGCACTGGTGTCACACAGTTACAAGATGAGCCTAGATAGGCACACAGTCAATAAAAACCACAAACAAATCTGCATTAAGTGTATTCCAAACCAGTATATGCTCAAGATTTCTGATTTATTTTTAAAACCTAGAAGTCTTGGTCTAGATGCACTGACCAATTTCTAAATGCTCTGTGCTACTGTACATCAACTGTATAGCTGCTCTCCCTCTTCTGTCTGGAAATGCAATTTTGTTGTGGATTTGTTTGAAACTCTCCTGTTTGCTCCTTTGCGAAATTCCCTCTCTGCATAGGGAAGGTGGAGCAGAAATTAAATCACACCTACAAAATGAATGCTTTGTTAAAGAGGGGAGTATTGCAAGTTGCTCAAGGATTTGGGGGCAGCCTTATCACCCTATTTAAATGTGGTGATCTTTCCTATGTGTATTATGTAACAAGAGGTTCAGCACCCTGCCTCAGACCTCCACAAATGTCACTGGAATTGAAAACCCTCCAGCAGAATGTAGATCAGAAGGACTGAAGGACCTGATGGGTAATTAAAGTAGAGGACAAAGATGATTATCAAAAGGCAGCTCATTATACACTTACATCCCTTTTAGATGAGCTGCATCTTGATCACAAGTGAAAATTAAAGTGTTATCAGGAAGTAGATACAGAGCCTGCTGGTTTTCTCTTATTAACAACCTCTTGCCTAAAATAAAGCTGAATGTCACAAAGGTAACCCCTGAATGGTTACCTTGACCTAACTTTTCCAAATGCCATAAATACCATGCAAGTTTCTCATCACTTTTCTAAAAACTGTGATTGCCTTCACTGATTAATGAGTTTTTAAGCCACCTAAAACATCATAAGGAAACACATCTGATATCAGAACATCTCTTACAGTACAATTTTGCTCTTTAATATGAGTCCAAAAACCAGCTGCAGACTTGGCTACCTAATTTTTGAGACAGAGTGCACTGTTTTCTATTAAAAAGCCTGCAGCTATCAAGCATTTTCAGAGATCTTATATCCAGGATTGGCTTCTGTGCCTAATATCTCTTGTGTGTTCTGGCATGAAAAAGAGAAGCTTAATACATTTGAAATATCAATGTATTAATATTAAAAAAATCATGCCTAGATTAACTATATAAGCAGTTAATATATCCCTGTTTATCTATGGGACCACTACTAATAAAAGGTCATTTGATAAGTGATCTAATATGTACTGGGAAAATAAGAACCAATGCAAAGACAAATACTCAAAAAGACTCAAAATACTGCAAAGCCTCAAAATACTAAATGGATGGGTTGTGTGCACCCATCCCTTGCATTCTGTCTTGTCCTTGCTGCCCTAGCCTGTGTAACTTTCAGGTTTGTGCTTGAATCTGATCACCAAATCAAGTCCTTCATCTGTAAAGGAATGGTAAATGGTCATCACAAATGTCACCACTGAGGAGAAGAGAGTCTTTTGGTGATGCTTATTGGCAAGATACATTTTGATATTGAGCATGAACACCCAGTGCAGAACACAACACATTTCAGTGTGACTGAAATTCTGCACTCACAACAGTTCATTTGTGGTGGGCGCAGCTGAAACACAGTGTACTCATCAGCCTGGCTATGGGTGAGAAAGGTCTGGATGTCAGCTGCAAGGTTTAGGAAAGCAGGTAAAGCAAGGTCCTAATTCTGCAGGGATGCACAAAGACACCTGGCTGGTTTGTAGCCATTTTCAGGTTTTTGAGCTGTTTTCAGCCCACAGGCCATATCTATTGTTTTGACACTATCAAAGCCCTATGGTGGTTTCAGCCAAACTTCCTGGCCCCCTGTGCTGTCATGGAGCAGCAAGGAGGGCCTGCTGCACGAGGGAAGACAAGCCAGCAGTGGAGGGGCAATGTAGGGCAGTGGCCTCACTGCTGAGGCTGCAGTCCCACAGCACCCGAAGAGCAGCAGAGCAGGTCTGATGGTGGAAACCAGCGGCACACAACAGTCCTGTGATCACTGGACAAGTCCATGGGGATGAGGGATGTCCATGTCACACAGGGAAGTCAAATCATCAAGGCAAAGGCAGAATCAGACAGGCACAGTGCTGGATTCCTGCAAAGCAGATCAGGCAAGCACCAAGGGCAAGGACCTGGGTTTAAACACTGCTCTTGAGTCAAGAGTCTTGTGAGATTCCCAGGAGGGTTCCCACAGCTCTCTCACACAGATCCTCCTCACTGAGCAGCTGGATCCAAGGGCACCCAGCTGTAGGCAGTCAAACCCCTCAGAGGACCAGGAGGAGAGCCTGGCAGTGCCTTCAGGATGGAGGCAGGGAGCTGTCAGTCACCTCTGCACCAGGGACACGGGGAAACTCTGGTGCCTGTAATAGTCACCATCACTGAGCCCCATCCTGAGCAACCTCAGGATGACCGGCACTGAGGAGCTGCCAGGCCATCAGTGTGTACCCACGAGGGCAGCCTCACCAGACTCAGAACCTCACGGCATTCCTGTGCTCCCAAGCACCCTGTGCCTTTATGGCACAAACATACCAAGGCTTCTGCATATTTACTGGGCTCACCATGCTTCCACAGAACCCAAAGTTACCCTCTAGGAGAAAGAGGCTGTGCACCACAGAGGGCTGTCCCATCAAACTTCCAAGTGAAGGAGCATATACTAGCCTGCCTGCTAGTTTAGCTGCCAGTGGGGAGTCAGTGTTTAAATGTGAACATGTACACTTTTGATTTTCCTCCCCAGCCTTTAAATAAAGATCACCTTTGCAATATAATACTACATGTTGGAGTATCCTTATACTTTTGCTCAGCATGGCACAAAAAAATGTGTAGAGCTCCATCTCAGCACAGCACTTGCTAAGATGGCAGAGCAATTAAAACTGTTGTCTCCTGTTTTATAAAAGAGGCACAAACTATAAGTTTTGATAATTGCAGTGCCATGGCATCGTAAGATTAACTCATTGTTTCAGGGTTTTCTTCAGCCCAGATTCAGATTCCCAGTGTGATGGTGTCACAAATGAGCAAAGCAATTTGAGAGGAAGGATACATGAAGAGGAAAGCTGATAGATGTGCTCCTGTCAGTCACTCTCTCACAATGACCGTGCCACAATTTCTGCTGAGTCACTCTTGACTAAGTTATTGATGTTATGGAATGTCCTCTGGATCCCCTTCCAGGAGGGGAACACATAAGGCTATTAAATCAATCCACAATTTCAGTGAATATTTGATGAAAGGCAGCTACCCAGTGCACAGGCTAGAGAAGACTAAGCACTACAGCTGAAGAAGAATGCTTTTCTTCCCAAACACACGTTCCTTCACTTCAAATCCACATGTCTGTCTGTCCTCTGTTCTGTAACCATTCAAAACAACCCTGTGGTCTACATATTAAGAGAACCCTATTAAACTGGGAACCTTTATGGTCATGTTCTCTGATATGATTTCTTTCTAGAGCCCATACGCTTTGTGATATTGTGAACAATTCAAAGTTTAGTGAGACAGGAAAGCATCACCTCTGTGTTTCAGCTTCATGCTTCTGCTTTCCCTCTACTATTCCTGGTGGGAAAAAATCTTCTGGCTTGGAAATAATAATAATAATAAGCAGCTTCTCCTTATGGTCTAACATTAGGAAGAAAAACAACCTCACAGAGATGTTATCCATTTTTCAGTAATCAGGGTAATTATTACCAACAATTCATACCACAGCTAGCACAGCAAAACTCCCACTCTGACTGTATTTAACTTTGTTTATTGAGGATAACAGACATCTTTTCTCATATCAAAGCCTGAAGAGGGAATTACCAACAAATTCTGGCACAAAAATCACATTCTTTTAAAATACACCATTATACATCATGAGATCCCTGAAACCAGAGAAGTCTCCATAAAATAAAATTCAGACCACATTATTTCAAAAGGTTTTTAGGGGAGGGATAAAAATGATAGTAAAAAAATGATAGTACAATTACAGTCAGTGGAAAATCAATTGAAAAAGGAAGCAGGAATACCCCTATGATGACAGTGTATTTCCTGAAACAAAAATCAAGACACAAGTGTTGTGTGAAATGGTGCTGTCTCATACTTTAAATAAAACTAGAAATCCTTATTTCTTTTTTTTTGTTGGATTGCTGCTATATACAGAGTATGAAAAATATATTTATTCAATATAGAAGTAGAGCATGATAGATTCTTTCCTCAGTTGAAAAAATTATTAAAAGTTTCTTAAATAAAAGTATCAAATGTAAAAGCAATTTTTTTCCTTTGTAAAAAAGTGTTACATTTTACAAGAAAGTCATATTGTTTCACTGGCAGACGATGCTTACAGCAGTGATGTCATGTTTCAAACTTTTCAGGGTTTCAGAAACAATGGTATAACCCTTAAAACACAGATATAATCCACAATCAAGACATAAACCACAATACAGCGTAGACATCACACATTATTCATGGTGAGGAAAGTATTGTAATATAAACAACTATTACAAAAATATGCAAAAAGTTATAGTTTAAGTCTTAAATTTACACTCAGGAATATCTCACAATGTTACAAAAACAATTCAGACTTTCTCTTGTCAAATGGACAAAACAATGAGGCTAAACTGGCATGCTATTGTGCCTCAGGTAGCTGTAACTTAAGTTTTGGTGATTCTGGTCACATAACAAGCTTAGACCTTACATGATAAATGATTAACAAGCTGAACAGCCTCAGCTTTGTGTGATTTTCTCCACAGTCACACTGTGCAGTTACTCTGCACAGTTCACAAAAACAGGTGAAAGCCTGAATAAACAAAAATGATCCCATTGGCAATTATTCCACCATCCCATTTGCCACTTGTAGACATGAATTCTTTACTGAGGAGGATTGTGATACCTCCTCCCATGTGGATGTCCTGATCCTCTACCTGGAGAGAGTAAGAGAGGAATTAAATCATTCAGTGAACATTAAAGCAAAAAACAAGGGCTTATTAAGATAGCATGCAAGAAAAGCTACAACTATACATGTCTTAAAAAAATACATGTCCCTGTCCAATTGGTGTGTAATTATGTATGTATGTATGTATGTATTCTGAGATCCTGGAGGATAAAGTGCATGGTGTCTCTTTTTAAAACTCTTGGGTGACTGTAACTTTTAAGCCTAGTCCAGTTAATGGGTTGGGATAGTGAATGTCATCTGTGACTGGTAGATCTGACTACATGAATTCAGGTAAGGATAATATGCTGTTTAGAACCAGACATAGGTTATATTTACAAATATTTTCATACTGGTTTAAGTGTGCCTGTGCATCATAGTGCTTTAGTTAGAGAGCTGTATTAGCAAAGCAGCACCCACAATGTCAATTAAATCTTTTCTCAGCACTGAAGTTCCACCAGGTCCCATCTGCATTACAGTTCTACCAAAATCCTATTAATCAGAAGCATGCTTGAAAGCAACACCAGTGTGGAAGACTTGACTCAGTATCTTGCAAATGAGAGGCTGCTTGTATTATCAGCAGTTATGTGTTTTAGAGTGTGCTAAGACTGAAGTGAATGTACCCTTTTGATGCAGTTACATTCTGTGAAGAAATGGATAATTAACAGTGGTTTCCATAGTTCTTAATGCTCAGTTTATTTTTAGGTTCTTATAGATTGAGTTAACACTGTGATGTAAAAACCAATGTATTAGTGGTCTTAACTTGTAATTAATGAAGTTTGTCTACCAATAGGGTATATGGGCTGTGGTGTGGTGTTGCAGCCACAAACCTAAAATCCATGAATTATCAAACAAGAAATATTAAGGGAAAATCTACCTTCCTGAGGCTTAGATGTCCTGCTCTGAGTAACACAGATGTGCTTTTATCCATTTGTAACACACAGCCAAGAAATTTACGGAGAGAAGTTAAATGAATACAATCGAACAAACCAACCCCCCCCCAACCTTCCCAAAATGCAGAAAAAGCCACAGCTGAGTTCTCTGCACTCAAAATACAGCACAGCAGCTGGGTACAGCAGCTACTACTGGCCATGTAACGAAGGATGCCTGAGTCCAGTTCTTGTTCTGCCTGAGGGGATTCCAGCCATCCTCCCAGAGAAATGCCACTGCTTCTCAGGTTGATGCTTTCTTGGTGGAGGCACTCTTTCCTCCACTGCTGAAGCTGAGACATTGTCACAGAATTCTTAAACATTAACTGATAAGAGAGAGCAAAGGCTGCCTAATCATTATATACACTCCTGATACAGAAGATATGGGTCCCATGGTTACTGTTCCATTACTTTTTACTGTATTTAATCCTATGATTTATGTATTATATGCAACAGCAGGAGCCATAACAGTGTGCCATGGAAAGCTACACAGAGGATGGGATAGACAGATATCAGTATTATCACCAGGGAGTTTTATCACATAAGCTACCATGAACAGAAAATGGCTGTTCTTTTTTTCTCTCTCTTTGCTGAGACACACATATAACAGACAACAGCTACATAGAGAAGTAACCCAAATACCTGTGCTAATATTAGCAAACTTCATAGAAGAATTTTGCCAAAATGAGTCATGTTGGCAGATCACTTTAAAAGGAGCTCTAAAACATTGAAGGGCTCTTTTATAAGGACAGATGTCTTTTTCCAATAAACCTGTTTCACTTATAACACAGGCAATTTAACTGCAGTTATGGGATCATGTTTTAAGAGTGTCCTGAGGGTAAGAAATAGGGATAGTGTAGAAGAAGCCAAGATGTTTAAATAATGCTACTGAAAGACATTTATAACACAGCAGCACAGTTACTGTGGAACTTACTTTGTGGAATACACCTAGCCATAAAATCTCTGGAGCTGGTCACAGATTATCTGACCCCTGAATATCAGGTTTCTTCAGATGGTCAAGAACTGGTAACAATGACCAGTTTGGGTTTTGCATATGGTCAGCATACATACTCTATATTTTAGCTTTATATTTTACATAGAGGATCAAATAATATTATTTATGAATCAAATGATATTATCTTACTCTGAAGCATTCAACAGTGGCAGCTGAAACACATTTAAGATTTTACTGTATCTATTTTTTATTTATCTTTCCTAATCACATCAGTGATCTTATTTGAAAACCTCACTTGGAAATATAAAAGAAATTCAGGTTCTGCAGACTTAATAAAATAATTGATGTTTTTTAGACACCTCTCTTCCTTATTTTCTTTAATCTACATATATGCGCTTCAACTCACAGTAATGAGGAAGTAAAACTGAATTAACTCAGCTCAACAGTGTTATCCACTGTGGTGTTTCACTGAAATGTCTGTTCTTTTCAAGAAGTGAGACTGGTGAATGATTTAAGATTAATGCCAAGGCAAGACAAAACTTGCATTTGTATCACTTAGGCAGTGACCTGGAAGCAGGGACCCTGATCTAGAAAACCACTTAAGAATGTGTTTAACTTTATTCATATGCTTGAGGGTTTTGTTGAAGTATGAACCAAGATCTGCAGCTAAAGACTTCAGACACATTTCTGTGCAGCTGTGCCAATTTGTTTTAGAACTGTTACAATTTTAAACACAGTTCAGCTGAGACCAAGCATGAAAATTACAAATACCACATGAAAGCTTATTTCCCAGAACACTGTGAGTAGAAGAGGACTGCAGATTACAGTGCTACACTCCACCTCACCCTGCAGAGTCGGTTTTTGCAAGGGGCAATACAAAACTGTGTAACTGATGCTGATCCCTTGTGAAAACTGACCTAGAACAGAGGCTAGACAGAGTTAAAGAATGATGTAGGTATTTATTAAAAGGCCTCAATGGATACACCTTGGGCAGTACAAGAGCCCAGCCAGGGCTACACCCAAGATGAACCCAAAATGGTCACAAAAATGGATGACCGGTCATGAGGTCTCACATTTTTATAAGTTTTGGTCCATTAGCATATTGGAGTTAATTGTCCAGTTACAGCTTTAGGTTATGAAGTCCCATCCTTCTTGTTTTCTCTCTTCTGTCCACATTGTTCATGCTCTGGGCCTGAGACTAGTATGGATTGTCCTTGGCTGGAAAAGGACTTGTTCTGTCTACCTACTCTGTGAAGAGAGCTTACCAAGCCTTAAGATGAAGCTCAGAACTACACACTAAAGCAGCACAGAATCTGAAAAATATAAAAGCTAAAACTTAAAGCATCAATGCAAGTTTTGTCGCTGACTGCTGGAGGGTTACTGCACACATAAACATGAACTGCAGGTAGACACAGAGCTGTTATACTGGTGGTAGGGACAATTCCAAACCCACAAACATGCACCCATTTTTTACCTGGGGATTGCAGATGTCTCTCCCTCATCTGGTTGTGATATGGAGAAACAACATGACTTCTGTGTGGCTGGTGGAGCCTGGGATTAAAATTTCTTGCTTCTTCTTCGGAATAACCTAATGCAATGAGCACCTCTGACAATATATAAGATTAAATGGAGAAAAAGAGGGACAGTGTATTCTTTTTCAGGAAACAGTATTTCTTAGTTCTGTGCCAAAATACTCAAGCACAATTACGATCTTTCCAAGCTAAAGTCAGCCTAACAAGCATGGTTCTTGTCCTCATTTCCATCTATGCACATCATGATTACAAGCTGTTAACAAGTGTATTTAGAAACCAGATCAAAATTTTATGACACAGATTTGGAGACTGCAGTCTTTAAAACAAACAGAAATCCCTCTCCAAATTGGAATCACAAATCATAATTAAAATGGTTAAATATAGCTCTCAAGGAAAAGCAGATGCTACCAAGGTCTGGTATTATAAATCACCAACAGATATCCTCAATTTTGAGTGTCCAGCATGAACTTGTTGTGGAGCCACATCAGAAGTATTGCTGCCACATAATACAAAGTACTGAACTAGCAGAAAGTAATTCTGTCTGTTGTAATTTGCTCAAGGAATTCTGAAGGGGTAATTTTTATCCTCACAGACATTATAACTGATCAGGTACTAGGCAGGTAATAAATATAATATGAGCATAAACACTGAGATTCAGTGTAAATTATTTCAAAGTCTTGAAGCCTCAACATTCAGGCTGATATGTGATTGATTTAAAAAACCTTTTGGATGTTTTTTACCCCAAAAGTCAGGCAGCTCAGGTAGGGAAAACAAATTTGCAAACTGAGTTCTTTAGCAAACTGTGCTGTAAAGCTGGGTGAAATAGCAAGATCTTAAGCAAGAAAGCAGAGTTTTTCAAAGTGCCCAAAAGCTCTCTTCTATTTTGAAATATGTCAGCGAATGCAATAAGAAGTATTTCATCTTCAATGCCTCATTCTGACCTTCAGTTATCAATGTTAAATAGCTCCCCTGAGGGATTGAAAGAAAAAGCTGGGCAATTTTTCCTATAAAAATATCTTTAGTCACTGAATAAATAGTGATGTTTCTGTCAATTGATGATACTTATTGCATATATCTCACTAGCTGTTATGTACCTAGATGGTAATATTATTCTATATAAACTTGGGTAATCAAATTCACATAAATTGCTAAAAAGAGTAAATATTTTCTTAGATCTTTTCATTGCTTCTTGGATAAAGAACTTCAAATTTACTTAGTTTGATAGCCTGCCTATGTAATTGCTGCTGCTGTTGAAGGATAATTTAGCTCATCTATATATTAACTTGATTGAGAAAATTCACACAATGCTAACCTATTAATTGATTCCTTCTTGGTCTGCTCTGTATTGTTCTGTTCTTTGCCATGCAAATCTTGCAAATGAGAGATTTCAGATTCTGGAAGGGTGTGTACAAAGACTCCTGCAGAAAACACAGTTAAAAATCAATGACTCAACTGCTCTTCTTTCTTCAGGTGTAGCACAAATTAAACACATTAACAACAACTATAAGACTTGTCTTAGCCACACTTGTGCATGCATGAAGCTGGTAGATCTGGTTGACCCTTTAACAGGAAATAAAGTTTGAACATTTAATATTAAATGTGGGTACCAGGAGGAGTGAGTAGGGGTGCAGAAAAAATGCTTTCCCCTTTCTCAGTGAAGCAGCTTTTCCTTCTCTGCTCACATTTGCAAATCCCTTGCTGTCCTGTCCTATTCTATGACCTTGCACCTGCAGATATCCTTAACTAGACTTCCATCTGCAATACCTCAGGCAGAGATGGTTAAAGCTTCCAGATAAGGACTGATGAACTCATGGGAAATACACCAGTTAGAATCTGTCTCTTAATCTCATACATTACAAACAGAACTTACCCAACAGTAATACATCTGCCCCAATTCCTGGCTGATAAAATATAACTCAGTCTAAAAAGAAATGGGGGAATTAAATTCAAATGTTTACCTTGTGGTGTGATAAAAAAAAAAAAATTCTACGTCAAAAGGACAAGCTGAAGCTATATAAGGGTGCAATACTGAGAGATGTGCTACATCCCTGACTTTCTCTGATTTCTGTGAGTTTTGAAAAAGTGACAGATCTTAGAATGTATTTTTTTTCTGATTGGTACCAGGTATGTGGGATTTACTACACAATGAAGAGGATTAGGAAAAGAGATTTTAGAATAATATCTTAATTTGTTATTTTCATAAAACTGAACTGATTTTTACAGGACGACATTTCCCTTTGAAGATGACAGGATAAGGTAAAAAAATCTAATAGGTAGCAAGGCTGCAGTAACTAGAGAGGTTTCTTAAATTAAAGGTAGAGTCTGACTCCCTGAATGAACCCTTCTGAGAACTTCCCTAACTCCCCTAATACATTTCTTGAGTTAACAAACATCTTCAGAGAGACTTGACTAAAACCCACAGATTTTTTAAAAATTTTGTTTTACCATACAATCTGGGTCCAGCCTGTGAAGAGCACAGAGAGAAACCTTTCATTTTATTCCTGGGAGAATAAACTCAGAATGTATGGAGATTGGATGAAAAGTGAGATCAGAAAAGAACAAAACATCAATTATGCCGACCCCATGATGTAATTTGGTTTTAATTTAAAAAAATTGACCATGAACATACTCATTAGTGAGAAGCACAATAAAAAGGCTAATAAAGTGATAATATCATTGCCTCACTTCTTTATGAGACTATTATAGCCAATTTTCTGTGTGGATAAACAAACTAATATGATTACAGTTTTGAAAACCAGAACAAGCATAATATGAGCTTAGCATAATTTTGTAAAAAAACAAGATGGCTCTATTTTTATTCTTATCACAAGCTGTCCATTTTTTTATCTTTAACAGCTGTTAGGCTACAAAGAGCTGAGCTACACAAAAACCTGCCCACAAAAATATCAACTGTATTTAGTGTACACATTTTCTTCTTTTGGCATAAGAACCAAAAGGAAGGTAGGAAGCAAACCCTAAGATGTTCAAAATTTTTGACACACATGTAAATATTTAAACAGGATTGTATTTCCACTGCAATTGTCAGAAACCTATTAACTGTATTTAAGCCTATCAGATTCAAAACAACACTGATTCTGAGATTGCCTCAAGTGCCTGAAGTAAAGCAACTGTCTGGATAATAGAGAAAGGACCCTTGGACTTAGGAGACAAGCACTTAACAACCAAAGGAATAACTTTTTCATATAATTTTTCTTTCCCATAACAAACATACCATTTGGAATAACTTCTTTTCTGCATACCACCACAAGTACTGTCACTATCACCAGATTAGATTGGTGGTGCTCAAGGTTAGATTGTTAACAAACAAGTGCTGAAAGATCTTGGCTTCCAGCAGTACATTAAGCTCTGCCAGGAACTAAGTACCATTTTTATTTATTAAAGCTGAATTATAATAAGAGGAAAAACCAATCCAATATGCTTGTTCCCTTGCCAGTGTTCCCAAGCAAACTGGCATCTCTTGGCAATTCTCCCCAGAACAGATTCTTGCCTCAAACTGATAAGCTGAAAGCTATTTTATTAGTCTGGGTACATATCTCTGCCATATATGTACCATAAAATTGTACCTAAAAAGAAAAAGGTATTTAAACTACTCTGAAAGTTCACATAGCTAGAGTATTTTTCCTCACAACAGAACAGTTTATCTGGAGTTTGTTTAAAACAGAGCATCGGGCTTTAAAAAACTCTAACCTAGATATTTCAGTTGACCAAACATATTTCTAACTCAGTTTTAGGAAAGTAAGATCTTTCTTCATGTTCATTATAAAACAGAATAAAATAGAACTCCAACACTAACACAACATTTTTAAATGTTAGCTAAAACATACTACATGACACATTTAAAAATATCTGTATCAATTAATATAAAAGGTGTACAGATTTAAATTTTTATTGTCAAAGTTACCCACTAACCTGAATTCTACCCAAGAGGAAAACAAGTATCAATTTCATTTTAGATACTTTAACATTTTCCCATTTATTCTTTAAACCCTCTATTGTTTTGTAGAAGTCCTGCATGAAATTCCTGGATGAACCATTAGCCCAATCCAAAATCTACTGAAATCAACAGACCAATTAATAGGAACCACAGGATTTGGATAGAGGTTATGGTCCTAATCATATGATTGAACACATATGGAAAGGATTATTCTCCTTCTTCATGCTAAAAGCATGTTCATTCCACCCACCCACAAGAGCTGCACTCCTCACTCCAGACCAGCATGGTATGCAGCTGGACACAAAATCAAAAAAGATAACCAGTTATATAAAAATAACTGGCACTGATGCGTAAGATTAAAATAAATCAAAACGGAAACATTTTTTCTCTACAATTAATTCAACCTCAAGTGATACATTCAGTAGCAGGTAAAAGCATTTCAAAGGTAAGATTTTCAAAAGTAATTAAATGGTACAGGCTTTTCAGACATGTTAATTGAGAAAGACACATCATTGAAGGTCTTTAGAGCTACCTTCCCAGATGGGTACAGATCCACCCAAGCATCTCTCCACATATTCTGTGCTGGTGGGGCACGAGGCAGGCCTGGTTTGAGGCTTCCCCAGTGCATCACCACAGTCTGGCACTGAGCCCAGCAGACCCCACCTGTGAACCTGGCCATGCTGCCCCTGAGCAGTGCACAGTGCTCAGCAGGACTCCCTGCCCAGACAGGTCTGAAATCACACTGCCCTTTTGGTAACACAGCATGCAAATCTTGTAAAGGTCCAGATTTGTAAGATAAAGTGGGACTGAGAACCAAATAAGTACTTAGAGCTACAGGAAGGTACTTGGTGAGATTCTAAAAGAAATACCCATATTTACCTACTCTAAAATAATGTACCTTCTTCTGATTTGAAGCTCCTCTTTGAATTTGCCAAACCTTCATCTCAAAATTTAGGTTCCTCAATGCCTCTAAAAATATCACTCTCAAACATTTGGTTTTTTAAAGGTGTTCTTAATATGTTGCTTAAAATATTATGGGAGAAAGATCTCATTAATATCTCAGTACTAGAAAACTATCGTGGGCATTTTCATTTTTGAAATTGACAACTATTTTCCTTCTATTATTTTCTGAGTAGTGGGAACAAAATTAAAGGTAAAATTACAGATTCTTTCATAAGCTCAGTATTTCTACTTTTTTTAAAATTATTTTTTGTGGAGAGAAAGAAAAAGGAATAAGATAAGAAAATACAAAGAAAAGGGGGAAGTGTAAACATGAATACAAAAACAATCAATAAAACAGACAGGTACATTTTTTACAAAGGATGCAGAACTAAAACGAAGTGATCACTTACATTGCCTTCCAAAAGTTCTTCCATAGAGCAACCTTGGTGTGCCTTCTGGTATTTTTCTTGAAAAAGTTTTCCATCAAACACTGCCCAAGGCATCAGATCATCCATCCTGAACGGAAAGCCACAGGCACTGTTGGCCATGAGCAGCGTGGTAAGGCCACGGACAAGGACAGCACCCAGGTGTACAGCCCTGGAGTCTACCTGTGCCAGCTGGGAACACACACACACAGGAAATATGAGCCACCTCATATGGTTTTTGTACCCCATATAAACACACAAGCAGCAGAGAAAATGGTCAGCTGTCCCACTGTTGTGACAATGATGGTCCTCGACTCCACAGCACAATTTGTCTGACGGCTCTGTATCTAGTTTTATTCAATAAAGTGGAAGAAGTGAAGTTTAACAAATACAGCATCTCATTCAAGTTTTTAAGACAAATACATTCAAAATGTAAATGGAAAGACAAAATAAATGCCCCCCCCAGTATTTTTCAAGCATTAGCAGCTCTGCAAGGAAAAAAGTTCTGTTAGTGGAATGCAAAACATGAACTGGGAGTACAAACTGATGTGTACAGTGATCCACTGACCTTCCAGAGTTTGCTTACCCCAGAAATGTTACAGTGTTTAGATATCATTTAAATTGCAGCATTTGACAGAACAAAGTTTATTTTGTATCCCAGCTTTTATTTTAAACACTCCAGAATTTCCTTTGACTGTAATCTGAAAGTCAAATTATTTCACTTCAACCTGGATGTCTCCAGAAGAAATACTGGAATCGTGTGACCTCATTTAGAAAATGCAAAATGAGAAGCTCAACAAGACAATTAAAACTCACAGCCAAGATAAACTCCATGTGTGAATTTAACATCCTGTTGTGGCAGAGGACAGCAAAATATAAAAACCTTGAATCCAGTATGGGGAAACTCTGACTTTAAGTATTGTTTAAACAGTACAAAGCTCTCAGTGGGCAATGCCTTTTCCGGTCTGTTCCACAGCAGTCTGTTAGGATCAGGAGAGATTCATAACAGCGTGGCCATCCATACTGTAATCCCTGGTAGGTGGTGTACCCTTAGGGTATAAATTATACCAGAAATGGAATAGTATCCAAAACAGTCCAGAACAGAAAGAGCAAAAAGTGACTCAACTTGTTTTAGCCCTAGCTCCTGCAGAGGTGTGAATTATTTGTTTGAAATGCAATGGAAAGGGTTGGCCATTATTACTACATCTTACACCTTGAAAGATCTCCAAAAGACTTAAAGGTATGAACATACAGTATCAGTGCCTTATGTTTTAAAAAATGACTAGCAAAATCAGTGAAATGTAGTACTAATGAATCAGAATTTTTTCTTCCCAATGTCCACATAACAAAACCTTTGCCAGCAAAAAAGAGCTACAAAGCTTCTTCCAAGAATGAAAATCATAAATCGTTTGGAGGATAGAGCCAGACCCTGGTGAAGGAATTAATTTTTCTGCACTATTATACAATGAGCTGAGCTCTGTTGCAAAATTTGACTAGGTGAAGCTGACCTCTGTGATGGGGCTCTCCCCAGCCACAGACAAGGGGAGGTAGGGTTCTGTTAAGCTGACTTGAAGATACAAGGTGCATCTCCATGGGCTGCTTTCTGCAAAATGCAAAAGCAGAAGAGGACTCAGATACGAAGTTGCAGGCGAGGAGATGCCAAGCAGGGAAGTTGAGAGCCCTCTGGGAAGAACTTATTCTGTCTCTAGTGATTCCTGGAAAGGCATCAGGCCCATCACCAGGGCACTGACCCAACATGACAGTCAGTAGCTGAAATTCATCCAGTGCAGACAACTGGCGACAACCACTGGCATCCAGACAAATGCAGACAACGCAAGCTAATTTCACAGAACTGTAGGATGGTTTGAGTTGAAAGGGACCTTAAAGTTCATCTTTTTAGTTCATCCAGTTTCAAGCTCCTGCCATGGGCAGGGACACCTCCCACTAGAATTAGAGCAATCATTTAGAAAATGAAAGATCCATATTTTTCTGATCATGACATTTCATATTAGAGTAAGGAGACTCTTGAGACTCTCTCCTACCCTCCCTTTAAAATAAATGTACTTTCAGTAAGGGATAAGGCCATTGAGTTTCAGGAAGGTATTGCCTCCAAATGTCAGCTACCATTTTGCCAGCTGAGACTAGTAACTACATGCACACTCATAACTCTCTTGCTCTGGCAAGTAAAGCAGGGGTTTGCAAACTGTTTAACGATGCTGAAGAGTACTTGAAAGAGGAATGTGGTTTAAGTGAACCAGTATTTGTACTAAAGTAAACTGCTAGAGTGCACACAGTCACTTATCATGTTGCAGCTGAGATTCTCACATTGCATTTACTAGATTGTTTCTGATCACCAGATCAAACCTGAAGATCTGCTAAGGAAGTGTGTCCACATCATTTACAACCCTAGTTGTGTTCTTTTCAGTTAAACTTGAGACATAGTGACCAAAAAGATAAAATAATGTTGCTGGCTCTATGGTTAGAGGACTTCATTGTCAAGTGATATCAGTCCAGGACTTTCCTAAAGCACTTTAGTACTGGGGGGTGGAGGGTTTGCGTTTGTGTGTGTGAGGGATATCAGGTAAGGTGTGGTGTTTTAATGGAAATTAGTATGAGCAAGACCAATGCAAGAGCTATCAACAGTGATTTCTTTGTTTGAAGAGGATAGGAAATACATTGACTAAAGGGTACTTTCTATTTTCCATGTCTGGCAATGAAAACCAAAGAAAATGAAAGCACAGTGAATCTGTAACAATGAGGCTGTGCACATGGCAAACCACAGAGTGGCCTTGCCATGGGAATGCTCACAACTGCTTGGTGTCTGCAAGGTTAAGATGTCATGATGAGAAAAGGAAAATTCCAAAAGAAAAGAAGTCTTGTCTTGCAGGGCATTACACCCTTGAGATTACTTCCTTTCGGAAATTGTGTCCATTCTTTTTACTATTTCTATAAACTCAGGACCCCAGTGAACCACATGAGATGCAGCCCTGTGATCTCACTGTTGCTACTCCTACCACCAGCTGATGACATTTGTGTGAGAGACACAGGGACTGTGTGAGAATTGCTCCTCCTGCACCAGCTGCCTTTGCTCTGGGCCTGCTGCTGAGCCTCCCAATGGCAGCTCCCCACCCTCCCAGCACTTGGGGAAAAAAGAGAATTTTTTTCTGTTTGAAGACTCAGAACTCAAAAGTTCCCGGTCCTCTAGCACCATTGCAGCAGAGGTTATTGATATCAGAGGCTTGATCTGAACTGGGTAAGCTACTTGAAAAGAACAAGAGAAGTGCTACAGCATCCACAACACTATGCATGAAGTTTTTTTCTAACAATTTCAGAAATCTCTTTGCTAGAAGACTTATATCACTGAGTTCAGGCCAATCTCTGTGGCTGTGTGCATGTGCATTAGTGACAGAAAGAGGCCTGGCAGGGTGGAAGGTGTTTGCTCACAGCAGCACTTTGCAAGTCTAGACCGAGACTGCACATCCTGCTGTAGAGTGTTAACTTATAGGAAGAGAAATACATGGATCTTGTATGTGAAATGCACACTTCCACTTCAAATTTAATCTAATGAAATAATAATTAAAAAATAATCAGGATGTAAAAATACTTTTATGTTTAAGGAAATACTATTAGTCCTCTGACTCTTCTTTGTAGATTCAGAAGGGATTTTTTGATAGAGGTGTAAACCTTATTCTATGCATTTTGAAAGCTGCACAAACTATTTCCAGGAGCATACTAAAAAAATAATTTGCCCCTCAACTGATTGGAGTTTAAAAGCCTCAAATTCTGTCAAAATGATAAATAGGTTCTATGGCAGTTGAAAAGTGAGGGTGAGTATCTGAACATGCCGGATGTCAGCAGACAACAGCAAAGCCATCTCACCATCTGAATTTCTCGAAACCAAGGAGAAAATATATGATGACAATTTCACAGTTCTTTACTTGTGCTATTTTACATGTCCTCTGCATCTCAATGTACTAAATACAACATTTAATTTAAAATGTGTTCCTTTAGTAGGATTTTCAAAAACATTCTGGGCATGCCCTTTTTCAATGTAAAAAGTTTGTATTAGTAATTGCTACCTAGGTTAGAGTTTACTTTTTTCCTGTTCTGTTGCCTCCTTCCTGTGGTGAAGTTGAATACATAAGACATGACTATGGCTAACATTTTGATATAGAAATTTTAAAAGAAAAAGCTTTAAAATTACATAATACATTTTCTCCACTCCTCCCTTCCCCACCTTCCTCACCCACCTATAAAAGAACATACCTGTTTTTGTGATAAAAGGGAAAATATAACTCGCAAGGACAGGTTAGTATTTGATGATTTCTAGTTAAAATGAATCAATTCAACAACAATAGTTACAAATCAATGTAATTTGTCCCATGCAATAAACTGCTGGAATTCAAGTGGTAGCGATCAAAATCTGTGTACTTGTCTGGTTTAACCAGCTCCTTTTAGATCCATTTGAACTCAGTCGGTACATCATCAGCATTGATGCTTCTTACATTAACTCTCACAGCAGCCACCTGTATCTTAAATGATCAAATATTTAACCATAGGCAATTTGTGCTTGAGCAATAAAGGCAGCAGGTAGATGCTATCTCAGGAACTTGTCACTAGAACAGTCAGGCTTAGCCTTGCCTGAGAGCTCCAAAGCACACTGTGTTCTAAATACAGAGATGAACGCTCACTGAGACAAGTCTGCAATGGAAAGCATCACTAAACAACCTCAACCCAAGACAGAGAGCAGACTGTCCTGCCTTCAGCCATTACTAATAAATTCCCAGTGGGAGCAGGCAAAGGATGCTCTACTCTCTGCTCTTGAGAAATGGATACCTACACTGGTGCAATGCTGGTAAATTACAGGACTGTCACCCTGCAGAGGTGGGCTGGTGAAATAGTGCATTTACTAGGCATCAGTCAGCTTTAAGCAACAAGCTGCTGGGCCCTGTCAAACTGAGGGGGGAGAGGAGTGCCAGTATTTTGAAAACAGACTAAGGTTTATTCTGATGAAAGATTATGGCTTAAATTAAGCTCTTCCTGCTTAAACAAGGTGTGTGCAAAGGAAAACAGGGATTGAAAAGAGATCCTATGAGGGCATTGGCTGCAACAGAAACTAGAAAAACCAGTTTTTAAACCCTTCTAAGACTTTGAAGTAAATATTTAGCTGTAAACAACCCAATTGTTTAGTA